ATTAGCGGCATTTCGGCGTCAATTGATTGAATTGACAACAACAAAACAGTACGACAAACTCACTTACATTAAGCATAGAATGTTTAATTTATTAACAAAACGAATACAAATACACCATGCTATAGGCCTAATATAAAATAACAAATAACTTACACAAAGTTTAAATATAAAACACTGAAAATCAGCAAACACGGTGGAACCAAATAAATAAGAAACGAATGTTAAAAAAGCTTCCAAAATCATCTTAGATAAACGGCAAAAATCAAAAGGCCTTCCAAAGTCCAAAAATATTTTTAAGATCATATGATACTAGTTTTAATACATTTTTAAAAAAAGTAAAAATCAAGGAAATTTGTCTGGCATTTCTTTGTTTTTGCTGTATCGAAAACATACCGAACCGTGACACCCCTGTGTCGAACTGAACCGTGAATTTTGTGAACCGTTACACCCCTAGAATTCACATATAAATATTCAACATTGCCATCATAGTTAGCAGTGTGATTTATTGGGTATATTATTATTCATGCTTCCTAACAGGAGCTTGAAGGGGAGCTGAACCGATCAGAGACCTGGACCCAGTTAACAGAGTTGTTTTCTGACTTGAAAGACAAACTCAACCCTTATGCGTCTGAACTTTTGTCTGATCGTCTAGAGAAAGAGAGAACTCGGTAAGTAATTTTACTTTACATATCCTCCACTTACTTTAATTCACCTTTTAAACTTTGAAATAGCACCAAACTGACAATTTCTCTGACATTGTGTCTTCATCATTGTTGAGGAAGCTACTTTAAAACAGCAGTGTCTTTATAAATTAGCAATTGAATCAGTTTATTTTATGGTTTAGTTGAGTGAATCATTTATTTACGTGAATCATACAATCATACAAACAAACTAATTCACTAAAATGAATCAGACATTGCAATGCAAAGAAAGAACAGAACATGTTTGATTTTTAAGTTTTGTTTGTCTGGTTGTTCATTTTCAGACATCAAGCAGTGACTGAAGATGTGCATGCAGATTTACTGAAGGCCCAGAATGCATTGCGGCTTTGGCTGGAGTATGAGCGTCTCACGGGAGAGTGCTGCGTTCAGCTAAATCAGCACTGGGAGAGGCTTGGAGAGCTTATGAGTTCTTCAGACAGAGAAGAAAACACTGTAGAGCTGCTCAACAGCAGGATGCAGGGCACCAGTGTGAGTAATTAATAGTATCTAGGCCCCTTTAACATCTGGCATTAGGATGCGTTTCCTATCCAGATAGTATCTGGATATTCTTCATCTCCAGTGTTATCTGACAGAGGTTTGATCACACTTACCCAAGAAAAAATGGAAAATGCCAACTGCATATTACTTGAAATATTATTCATTAAATTAGATTTTAACTCTAATATGATTATTGGCCTCAATTACCTGAAAATAACTGAAAATGCATGCTAATGCCAGGTGAGAGCTCAGTGCAGATGAGAAATCAATCAAAATACAATAGGTCTGAGGTACAAAACACATTAAGTACAAAATTAAAAGGTTAGTGGCTAACAAAAGGGAAAACAACAACAACCCTTAAATCATACTAAACCTACACATTCCACAGCAATAATGATGCACAGAAATGTTAAACTGATTGTTTTTTTAAATACAAAGGTACTGGTTTGGATTTAATCTTTGTCATTTTTAAAGAAAATAACATTTTGCAAAGTAACGATTCACAGTGAAAAATCGAACCTAGATAGTAGCCAATTTTCAGCATGTGCTTGTTAAGTGCTAAAGTGTTCTAGTCCTACAGATGGGTCTGCAGTACTTCAGTCCAGTTGTGGTTTTGAAAAAAAGGAACATTGAGATCTGGAGCTGGAGCTTTTCTCAGTGGGCTAAAAATACCAAATGAGACCTGTGCTACTCTTAACAAAAAATGTTCAACACAAAAGAACATGGAATCATGAATCTGCTCTTATTCAATTCGTTTAAACTGGTGTTTTTTTCCTGGTTCATACACATAGTTAATTAAACTTAAAAAAAATAAATAAAAATTAATAAAGGGATTTGTACACTTATAATCCCTGTTTAAACATAAACAAACAAATAATATATTTAATGTATGTTGATAATAAAAAATTAACTTATTTATTTTGTGAATAAAAAACAAATTTGTGTCTATAAAATTAAAATAAATAAATAAAAGGAATGATAAGAAAAGCAAATGAAAAAAGTAGCCATTAGCATCACTGTTCATTCAGGCTCTCCATTAAGGCAGTTACATGAATCTCCCTGACAGTCCACATATACTCCTCAACTGAGTTATTTAATTGTAATGTTTTTTAGTAGCTGCAATAATTATTTAATAAATGTTTTGTCCTACATTCTACTGATTCCATCTTAAGTTTCAAAAATAGTAAAAAGTGGCTCAGAGTTGAAGGCTTCATACATTTGATCAGAAATAAAGAAAAAACAGTAATATTGTGAAATATTATTACAATTAATAATAATAATTTGAAATTTTTTAAAATGTACTTTATTCCTGTGATGTAAAGCTGAATTTTCATCAGTCATTAATCCAGTCTTCAGTGTCACATGATCCTTCAGAAATCATTCTAATATGCTGATTTGCTGCTCAAGAAACAATTCATTATCAATATTTTATATAATTGTACTGCTGAATATTTTTTCAGGATTCTATAATGAATAGAGCAGTCAAAAGAACAGCATTTATTTGAAATAGAAGTCTTTTGTAACATTATGAATGTATTTACTGTCACTTTTGACCAATTGCTGAATAAAATTACTTTATTTAAAAAAAAAAAACTTTTGAACACTGGTATAATTCATTAAAAAATAATTTCATGACATGATAAATTATGTCTTTCACAGGCTCTGGAGAAAGACATGCCGGCCTTGCAAAGCAGTGTGGGAAAAATCCTGGAGGCCTCGAAGCTACTCATTGGGCAGATGAAACCCCAGTCAGCCCCTCTAATCAAATCAGAAACAAGGTTGCTATCACGTGACCATGCATATCTTGGCAAGGCACTTTCTGACATCGGGGCACAAGTTCAGGTGAGGGTGACAAGTTTATATCTAAGTAAGTAATCTGATTCATCTGCAAATTGATGGCAAACATTTATATGCCATCCTACACAAGTGTTGTGCTGTTCTCGGTCTATAGGAGGAGCTGGAGGAGCACTGCAGTTTCAGCACTGAGTTGAAATCAATGGAGCAACAACTTAAAAACTTTGAGAGCATTATGACCTCCTCTGCTACAAGCATGGATAGACTAAAGGTGAATCTGTGGCACTTGAGGTTGTTTTCATTAATTTTCTTTTATCCTCCTCTTTGTGTTTCAGAGCAAACTAAAAGGTTTGTTTTTATGTAAATGTTTCTCTTTTTTCTTTCTCTAAGATGGTTCTGTTAGATCTGAGTGGGCTGAACCCTAACCTTGCTGCTCTGAATCAAACGAGTTTCAGACTCTCCTTAAGCTCTACAGAGGAAGAGAGGTTACAGTCCCTCAACGCACAGTGGGTTCAGGTCTTCTCTCAGGCTTCAGACCGACACAGGCAAGTGAAACTTCACTGTATTAAAGCTGTTCTGTTCTCAAACATTTTGATTTAGCCCTGAAATACACTTGATCCCCGATATCTTAGGAAAAGGGATAGTTTACCTAAACATGAGAATTTTATTTACTCACCCTCAGGTTGTTTCAAACCCTTTCAAAAACTCTCTTGTTGTGTTCCATTGGGAAAAAAATTACTGGTTTGGAACGACACGAGGGTGAAATTTTATTTTTGGATGAACTATTACTTGAACTTTTTTTTTTTCCATAAACAAACTTTTTACACTCTAAAATAAGCTGTCACTCTGGTGAATGCCAATGCACATATCTGTCTGTAGGAAGATGTATGGAGAGCTGCTGCATGCTCAGAACTTCCAACAGAAGTGTCAGTGCTGGATGGAGTTCCAGGACAAAATCAAGGCTGGGTTATCCAATCAGACGTCTGGAAACTGTGCTGCTGTAAAAGAGCAGCTAGCTGCACATCAGGTAGAGCATACAGTTATAAAATTAAATCCATTAGAAAAGTATTTTCTAATACTCAGTTTCATCATGCGATGTTGCTTCATAATGACCATGCATAACATATTCGAATTAAAGGGATAGTTCACCCAAAAATGAAAATTGTATGTTTATCTGCTTACCCCCAGGGCATCCAAGATGTAGGTGACTTTGTTTCTTCAGTAGAACACAAACAAAGATTTTTAACTCAAACCGTTGCAGTCTGTCAGTCTTATAATGGAAGTGAATAGGAATCACGGCTTTGAGAGTAAAAAAAAACACACACAAACAAAACCAAATTAAACCCTGACACTAAAATGACTGACAGACTGCAACGGTTTGAGTTAAAAATCTTCGTTTGTGTTCTACTGAAGAAAC